CATGACCTGAGCCGAAGGCAGTTGCTTAACCAACTGAGCCACCCAGGCGCCCCCTTTGTGTGTGTTTTGTTACTGTTTCTTACGTATATGTAAAACCACTGGATCATTGTGTCACTTGTGTTGATACTTTGTTAAAATAGGGAGTATTTTTTGTGTTTTGTTGTTTCTGTCAAACCAATGGTCTAAAGTCACAGAAATCAGTTATGGTTACTTAAATGATAAGTAGTACTTTTCACTGAAAGGAACAGACAGGAGATCTGAATTGTGTAATTTTTTGAGGCCTCTTTCAATGCTGGAATTTAAATTATCTGCTGTACTGATCAACCTCTTGTTTTTGTAACAGATTGCTCCCAATTCTCTCAATCTTTACAAATATAAATACATTGTTACCTTAACTTTAACTGGTCTTTACAGACTCATTTGATCAGCTCTCATTATTTCTGTATCTCTAACTAGCTTGTACTCAGTGGTAATTAGGGAGGGGTTTTGGATCACACACACTTACACAACAAGCAAACAACAACAAAAACACAAACCCTGAGCCCAAATGGCGGTTCTCCCACCTAACAGCTATATGACTCTGATCAAATTGTGGGAAGTCTTTATTTCAAACTATTGGAAGTCTCTATTTCATATCAACAGTAGTTGATAGTGTGGTGTAGCGTAGAGTAAGGATCAAGTTCAAACTCCTTAATATGGCTTCCAGGGCACTCCCTGAACTAGCTTCCGTGTGCCTCTCTATTCCCATTGCCCATTGCCCATCACTCAACCCATTGCTGTTCAGTGCCATGACCTCCTCTCCTCAAACTTACCGGGATCCTTCCTGCCTCGTGGTGGGCACACATGCTGCTCCCGATGCTCAGAGCAAACTTGCACCCCCCTCCCCTCCAATCAGCCTGCCCCCCCTGCCCCTCCTTCAGAGTGCCCTGACATCCTACCTCAGGGAGAACTTCCCTCTGTAGATGCTCGCAAAGTTCCCCTACTTGTCCTCCAGAGCACTAATCACAATTGGAATTACACTACCATCACTCATTTAGAATCGCTCATTTAGCGCCGGTCTCTCCAGCTACAGAGAAGCTCCATGAACGCAGGTCTTGCCGCTGTGACTGAGTTACACACACATCTCTGCGAACCAGCACAGTGTCTAGCACATGATGAACACCCCAAAAAATACTGGGTACAAAAGCAAATTTCTATTACATCAAGAATGAATTCACATGCAACCAATATATTTTTTGAGTAGTAGCTTAAACTCATCGGGTTTTTTGTTTTTGTTTTTGTTTTTTTTAACATAAGAAGAAAGTTCAAGACAGGCAGTCCAGAGTTTGCACGTGGAGTTGTCAGATTCAGGGGAAAAAGCAACACAATTAGAGGACACACAGTTAAATTTGAATTTCAGATAAACTATAGTTATTTATAAATAACTTTAGTATAAATAAGTCCCAAATACTACATATGTGAGACTGTTGTTTTTCTGAAACTCAAATTTACTTGGGTGTCCTGTATTTTGTCCAGCACTTCTGCTTTTGCACAACTCAAAAATGTCAGAAAAAAAGCCAGGGTTGTCCATCCTTGGCTTGTGGCCCTATCACCAGGAGGTCCAGGAAGGCCTTGAGAGTTCCCAATGTGGGCGCCTGGGTGGCTCAGTTGGTTAAGCGACTGCCTTCGGCTCAGGTCATGATCCTGGAGTCCCAGGATCGAGTCCCACATCGGGCTCCCTGCTCGGCAGGGAGTCGGCTTCTCCCTCTGACCCTCCCCCCTCTCATGCTCTCTCTATCTCATTCTCTCTCTCAAATAAAATCTTTAAA